ATAAACGTATGTAATATGATAGTGTATACTTAATCTAAGTTTTTGTAATTTTTTTAAAGTTTTCTTGGGGGGTTTTGACCCTTTTTTTTTATAAAAATATCTACTTGACCGGTTAGTCTTGTTAACCGCTCCTGTTAGTTTGATTCCTGTTCGAACTGCTCCCAGCCTCACGACTGGTTAACCGTTCCGGTTCAATTTTGCGAACACTGCTCTCAGCATGGATTGGGAGGACCAGTTCTCACTGCTTCCAATCCTTCTTCTAAGCCAACGCTATGGAACTTGAACTATGGGGAAAAGGAAGGAGAGAGAAGATAGGAGAATGATAAAGAAGTAGGAGAAAACTAGCTGAACCCATCTTCCTCATCTACAATCATGGCACCATCCGCCAAATACCCATTCATCATCAACCAACCATTATCTACTCTTTACCCACCTCCATTCCTGCCCGTAAACAACCACAACTCCATTCTTGCACATCGACGACCACCATCAAACCAGCCTAAAACCTCCTCCAAAACAATCGTAGCCTAATACCACAAGCGAAGATCTCCCAACAGCACAAACCAGCCCTCAAATAATCAGGACTCCAACAGAACATTCTCTCAAATTGTTGATGGGAGCTCAAACTCCTTATGTTTCCCAAAACAGTGCTACTATAAACCAATAACATGATATGGGTAACTCCTTGTTCAGATTCCAAAATAAGTGGTGGAGGCAAGTCTAGTAGATGAATGGAAGGCCAATATCATAGACTCTACTTCTATGAAAGCACCAAGAGCAGGTCAATCTCATTCAAGGGATAAAAGATCATATGAAAGGTCTGCAGGCATTACACAATCATCCCCAAATCCACCAAAATGTTCTATTCAGATATGAGTTTGTGGAAGATATGAAGAGAATCATGAGTGGCAGCAATGTTTTAAAATGTGGGATGCAGCCAGACGCTGTGGGGGGGGGGGGCTGATGCGGCTCAATGCGGTCCGGATGCGGGTGCATCGCGATGATGCGGTCAATAAATATAAAAAAATTCAAAAAAATCTAAAAAAATAGGTTAATGCATAGAAAAAAAAATGGAGGTGATATATGTGATAGTAGGTATTTTAGTTTAATGATTAACTCCAAAATTATTAGCTGTCATAGATTCCGTATCCAATATCTCCAATTTTGGTGCTCAATTTCTTCACTGCTTCTGAAACCCCCGATTTCTTGTCACAAATTCACCTAAACTTTCCCAAATCAACAATCAAAGGTTCTAATCAATATCCAAGTATCAAACAATCCCCAAATCCAAGATTTGAATGAAAAAATATTTCCACCTAAATTTTTTTTTGCTCGATTTGATCCCAAAAAAGCCATGAAAGTGGCGGTAGATGATCGTTTAAGGGGTTTGATACCCTCCCAAACTGTTCCCCCCAATTTTTGATGGTAAAAAAGACCATTCTGCCCCTCCCCGAGGGGCACAATCGAATTTGTTTTTGCTGAAAACGATGCAGCCAGATGCGGTCTGATGCGGCGCATATGCGGCCACATTACTCAAAACCCCATT